GAGCTGGAAACAAGCCACAATAGTTCCCATCCCAAAACCAAAGGAGCCTGGCAAGTACCGTCCCATCTCTCTTCTCAGCTGCCTGGGTAAAACAGCTGAGAAGATGGTACTCAACAGGCTCCGATGGAAAACGGGTCCCCCCATGAACACCTGCACGGGTTCACAAGGGGTAAGAGCACTGCTCATAGCATTTCCACACTCTTAAGCACAATCTGCACCTCGCCCGCCGTGGTTGTCTTCCTTGACCTGGAGAAGGCTTTTGAACTGGCAAGTCCCTTGCCATTCAAGAGACCCTAATCCACAAAGGAGTCAAAGGCAGACTCTTGGCCTGGATAGCTGACTATTTTAAAAATAGATCAGCAAATGTCAGATTTCAAGGCCACCTCTCACAGCACATGCCACTTGAAAATGGAACTCCTCAGGGAGGGGTTCTTAGTCCAGCCCTGTTTAATACCCTCATGTCCAACATACTCGACATTCACCTGCCAGAGGGATGCAAGATCATCTCTTATGCAGATGACTTGGCAATCATAGCCTCTGGCAATCACTGCCTACTAGAGCTCAGCGTTGTCTGAACCTGGTGTCTGAAGAGTGTTGTAGGACGGGTCTAAAAATATCAGCAGCAAAATCCAAAGCAATGGCACTGAGAACCAATGTCAGAAACAAAAAACTCACTATACAGGGTATGGATCTGGAATGGGTGAAGGACTATCTATACCTTGGTGTATGGATAGGACACACACTCACTTTCAAAAAGGAGATCCAATACCTGCTTGACAGAACCAAGGAAAGACTGTCAGTCATGAAAGTCATGACAGGGAGACACATAGGAGCAGGACACAAAGTACTAAGATCATTCTATGTACATGCTGTCCGTCCTATTATTGACTATGCATCTGTCGCCCTCATTGCTTCCAGCACAACATTAAAAGAAAAACTGGAAACAATACAAAACGAAGCAGCCAGGATAATTCTAGGTGCACCTAAGTGGACAAAGGTCATCAACCTCCTCATGGAAGCTGATTTACCGTCCATGGACACAGAATAGATCTAATGGCAGCACAGTTCCTTTCCAAGGTCCTGCAGGCACCCACAAACTCCTATCTAAGACAAAGAGTTCTCAGACGCCTACAACAAGATTACCAGTTGTTTGCAGACAATTCCTGGCTCACACATACAGCCAGAGTTTTGATACGCTTTCAACTAAAAGATTCATTGCTTGCCAAGGGTATGGACTCCCCTCACCCTGATTACAAAGAACCCCCGCCGTGGGCAAACGAAATGATCGAATTCTCAATTCTAAATCTCACAATGAGAAAAGATCAATATTCCATGCCTAGCCTAAAGGCACAAGCACAAAGGGTCATTGAACAAATAACTCCGCCGGGTAGTATAACTTACTACACGGACGGATCCGTGGATCCAATAACCATACTGCAGGCGCCGGCTTTGCAACAAAGGATACCACAGCATCCATTAGGGTCACTGACAATGCCTCAACGCTTCAAGGCTGAAAGTTACGATCATGGAATCCCTGACACACAGTCCCTAAGGAGGACACGTCATTCACACAGATTCATGAGCAACTATTGACAGCTTACAGCATAGCATGCCCCCAGACACATCTACCTCTTGACAAAGTGCTAACCATAGCCCAAAGAATCCTTAGTCAAGGTAGAAGATCATCATTAACTGGGCCCAAGCCACATAGGCATACAAGGGAACGAGCTTGCTGATAAAGTAGCTGAAAAGGGCAGGGGTATGCCCCCATCCTCCATGATCGTTAAACCCAGGCGAAGGGGACTAAGCCAAAGTACAAAGCTTGCTGCCAAGTGGTACTCAGATGCTTCAGGCTATGAGCCACTGGCCCTTCCTCCAAGCACAAAAAGAGGTACCGAAGTCATACTATTCAGACTAAGACTAGGTTACCAATGCGCTTGGCAAATTATTGACTATGAGACTGCCAGGTTATGCAAACACTGTGGTGAGCCTAACGCCACCCTGTTACATTACTTGCAGAATTGTGTACACACAATTTCTGAGGCAGGGACCACCCACCACAGCCGCCGGGCTGGTAAAAAGGGTGTGCAACATGCTTACCCTGTGGTAGCTGGATCGCTTGCTTGCAATTCAGCCACCACGATAAGCATGTAGTTAACTAGAAATAGTTAACACAGGCTGGCACTCCAGAGAAAAGGCCTGGGCGAAGCATAACTTCGCAAATCTAACTGAACTGAACTGAACTGAAAAATACACACTTCATCATCTTCTCTGCAACGAGTTTAATTCTCCTGTCTGCTTAGGACCTAGGGCTCTCTCAATTACCTCGCCCTAGGCCTCTCTACATTGGTGACCCTGGAAACGACATGAACTCCAACGCAGCCACCCTCTTCACTGAAGTGAATGCTGCCTCCATCCGCCTTCCACCCTTCTCACCAAATGGAGCCCTCACATGGTTTCGCAAGTCTAAACCAGTTCAGGCTTAAGAATATAGTGAAGGCGACCACCAAAGCAGACCACATCGTAGCCGTTTCACCTGAGGAAGTTTTCCACCGGAAAGTCCCCTGATTAGATGCCCAGCCAGACGAAATTGAGTATGACACTCAGAAGCAGCTGTTGAAGTTTTCTTTTCTCCGTCTGAGAAGGCACGACAAGTTTCAACATCCCAACCTGCTATTCGGAACTCGTACTCCAAAACAAATCTGGCATGAAATCACCACCCTATGCCGCCTCCCCACAAAGATGCAGAAGGGAAGTTCCACGAAGTGGACCTTAAAAAAGAAATTCGGCTCCACTCTCTCCTGGCAACATCAGGGAGAAACTCCACAACACGAACGAGATGGCCATTGAAGTCTTCACCAGAACCAACGCACTGATGGAAGCTCATCGCAAGCCCGGTCTCAATCAGCAGTTCCCGTTTTCCCGTGGGCCAATACCGACATCAATGCAGCAACTGCCCGAGGACCAACACGAACCGGAGGCTCTTCATCCGATTCCTTGCCGCTGACGTATCTGCTTGCACCACAAGCGGTTCAGCAACACGGCCTACAATGGATGTAGGTGGAAACCTCGAAGACATCCAAAACAACATGGAAGGTGGCCACTACGCAACACGGCCACAACATCGAACAACGAAGACAACCACCCGACGCCCAGCTCTGCCTCACTACAGACACCAGCAAAGTCCCGGTAGGAGTTCCCCTGGAGCAAGAAATCCAAGGCAGACGACAGCCCCTGACATCCAGCAGAGAACTCCTGGCAGTACACCTGGCCATTACCAACCTTTGCTGGGCAAAATTCACCCTCTGCGGCGCCAGCATGACCAGCCTCGTCGTACCCAACAACGGCCCGAGCGACACTCAGCAAGAGGACCTCTCGCCCAGGGAGCCCGGTAGTTCACCACCAGTAGACCTACCCGTCGCTCTCATCACCCACCCTACACCCCAGCAGGATGGCCGAGTTCGCCTTTTCACCACGATGACGCCACCTACACGAGATCCAGACGCCAGTCTCGCCCTCGCAGGATCCTCGATCTGCAGTCCCTTTCTCCCTTGTTAGGGGGGAGGCATTGTGGCGGACGTCATAATCAACTCGGCACCGGCGTTTTGTCTCGCTCCGCTTAATTGCCTCAATCAGCATCGGCGCACCTCACTCGGCATAATTGCCGGCAGGCAAGCGAGGCGAGGTCCGCGGCGCTGATTCGCCGCGACGCGGAAGATAAGGATGCAGCCGTCGGCCAATCAGCACACTCAACGGCAAACGACCCAGCAGTGTTACTTCGCCGTTTGTTTATATACCGCATTTTCCGCCGAAAAATACACACTCCCACCATCACCTAGTCTATGCTAAGGAGTAAACTTTCATGCCAAAAAGAACTACCAAAGTGTCACTGAACAACCCTGGTCTGCCGGGGCCTCAGTCGCACTGCGGTCTTTTTTGCACTGATTTTTACTCATTAACGTAAACTATAAAGTAAATTACTCTGTTTCTGCCGAGTTCTGCCATTTGCCTCTTAAAGGTCTTTTTCTTGTTCAGCTATTAATGGTGATACGTGAATATCTGTACCTCTCCCTATCACAGGGCAACCTGTATAGTGAGGCCCAGCAGTCTGAGGCGACATATAGGTACGCTTTGCCTCTCTCTAAACTCCTTCCCTTTCTTGTGGTCACCTGGACCTACATAAACCCCCCATGGGTTTTTGTATTCGTCTGGGTGGCGCGCCACTTACCTGTTGCCCCTTTGTAGCAAGGATTGGCAATAAGGGAGTGGCCCATCACAAAGCTCCGATCCTCAAGTGCACTGAGTAACGCAACCAGTCTGTCACTTGGGGGGGAGTGTAGGCTCTCCAATCACCCCTTTCAACCCCACCTCTCACCTCTCTCACCTCACCTCACCTTCACTCTCACCTCCTCTCCTCTCTCGCCTCACCTGTATACCCCTGCCACCCTTATGACCCCTGATTATGGCCAAAATTAAAATCAAAGTCCTCGGTGGTCTCTCACCGAGGAAACGTGACTCGCTCGCCAATGCACTCTATGGTGCTGAAATCAGAGTACTTCGGTACATTGCTATCCAGGATGGATACCTGGCCCTAATTGACGATGACAACCATGCCGAGAAACTCTTCTCAAAGGATGTCGTCCTGTCTCTGGAGAAGCTTGGCTTCTATCCTGTCCTACCTGTGGACATGAAGGCAAAGCTCACGCTTGTCTTCAAGAAACTGGACCGCCCGGTCGTAAACGAATCCCCCCTCGATATCGTGGACGAGATTACTGCCGCCTTCCCAGAGGCCCAGGTCGACAAAATTTATGTGATGAAGGCGAACCACATCATTAAAGCCAGACTCTCAGACCATGCCACAGCCAAAGCAATTAAGGAGAAGGGGATGTACCTTTTCAAGCTATATGTTGCCCCCTGGCAAACAGAGTTTAAGAGGTACACCCCTATCCGGCAATGTATGAATTGCTTTGGATACGGCCACTTGAAAAATAACTGAAAAGATGAAATGCACTGAGTGTGGTTCCTCCACCCACTCATTCAGGGACTGTAAAAGTCAGGTTAAGAAATGTCTTACCTGTGGGGGTGCCCACAGGACATTTGCCAATAGCTGCCCCAAGAGAAAGGAGGCAATGAAGACTTCACAGGAGAAGTCTAAGGAAAAAGAAAAAGAGGAGACCAGACCTATCAGGGCTGTGGCCCAAAAGGCAGCACAGGAAACTGTGCAGGCTACCACCAACGCCTGGAAGCCCTTAATAAATCAGGTCCGTCAAGACATTAAGCAAAAAAACCCAGATTCTGTAATCCACCTTGCCCTCCCTGATAATCTGTCTAGAGAGATACTCGTGGTCCTCCTCCACGCCCACTTTCAGAACCTTATTGCCCCTGAGAAAGGGTTTAGATACCACGCCAAGGCAGCTTTGGCAAACAACAATCTCCCTGATCTCGATCTCGGAGATTCAAACTCCTGGGGAATCCTCAAAGTAATTGAGCCCCCAACCATGACTGTCCAGGCCCCTCCTGAAGCCCAGCCCCAGAGACCACAAACTGTACGAGTTCAGGTACAGGAGCCTCAGCTTGCCCAGACGTCAGAGCCTCAGCCTGCTGAGGCCCAGACAGTTGCACCCCAGTCATCTCCCCAGGAGTCAACACCAACACCCGCACCCCCCACCACAGACCCCTCCCCTGGTCCATCTGTGAGGCCAAAATTCATACACATCCCCACAGAGGCTGAAGCCAGGGATATCCGCAGTGATACCCCTCTCGACACACCTGGTCCCCCACCACCCACCCCTGACCAAACCGAACCAGGTTATAGCCATGTTGGTGATGAGGGGATGGAACGCCTCATGGATGGGACTGCCACAGACCCTACGTATTATGGCATCCGCCTCTTTACAGTAAATACAACTAAGTACGAGTACTCTGATCGCTATGAAATAGGCCAAGAAATTTGCAATAAGCGAATAAAGTGGTTACTGACGAAAGAGGAGCATGCAATCATGGTCACGATCAAGAAACTACACTATCACATAAAGTGGGAAACTTACAGGTCACCAACGACATGACTGAACGTTGTGACAACATGAACTCAATACGTAATGGGTACCTCATTGAATAAGAACACAATACACATGGGACACCATACATTACACTCACGCCTCACCGTTATACAACACAACGTACTACACTGGACAACAAACAAAACAGAACTCTGTAACACATACAGAAAACACGACCCACATATCATCCTCATAAACAGTCATGGGCTCAATAACACCACTCCATTGAAGATCTTCACTTACACTGTCTATTCTTCCAACAAATCACAGGAAAGAAGCGATGGCGTAGCAATTGCGATCAAAAACGACATGCCACACAAAATCATAAATAACTTCACCTCAGATCTTTTGGCAGTCCAAGTAAACACACCACAAAGACCCATCATACTGGCAACACTATACATACCACCACGAAGACCATACATTCCAGAACCTGACATCCTGCAACTCCTGAGGCACAACAAACCAATATACATCATGGGAGGTTTCAACACCCACCATACACTCTTTGGCTACAACGATACAAATGCAGTTGGCAGAGGCCTGGCCTCTTACATACAACAAGGAAGACTCACACACCTCGGTCCACACACACCAACATACATTGCACATCACGCAGCGACAACACCTGACAAAGTACTCACGAACCACAGAGCACACCTACACTACCACATTACCACAGATGACGTCACCTCCAGTGATCACCTCCCTGTAATAATAACACTGTCAACAAACCCCATCATGACCCCAACACAACCCCGAGAATCCTTCAAACATGCAAACTGGGAGAGATTTAAACAAGCACTCGAAAACACACAAGTAATCGATCTCGAGGGTCAGCCCACGCACATGATAAACAACCACCTTGAACAGTGGTACACAGACATACAGACGGCCCGTGAGGCCAACATACCCAAAACAACATACAAAACTATCCCCCATTACAGAGAAACACATTATCTGAAATTGCTTAAAATACAATACAGGCATCTACACGAACTTTCAATAAAACGGGGCTGGGACGAACAAGTACGCACACGATACAGAGAAATACAAACAAAACTCACACACGAAGTTAGAGTAATGAACAAACAATACTGGGAAACACTAGCGAGTAAACTATGTCAGAACACGAAAGACCCCAAGAAATTTTGGAGCTCCTTCAAAATGCTCATGGGGTCAAACAGACAGACAGTCTCATACATTTACAACGCACACAGACAGAGGGTGAACTCGGTGGAGGGGATGGAGGCACTCCACAGGGAATTCTGGCAACAGAATTTCCAGATCTCCCGCGCCGAGAACGCCCACTTCGATAACACCACAGAGACCGAGGTCACAAACTACTTACAGCAACACAGAAACCTAACTCTCCCAGAAAACATCATGACATTGAACAATCTCACAGAGGACAGTCCCCTCTCCACACCAATCACTCCAGAAGAAATAATAAACACAATCTCCAGAAGAAATAATAAACACAATCTCCAGAAGAAATAATAAACACAATCTCCAGAAGAAATAATAAACACAATCTCCAGAAGAAATAATAAACACAATCTCCAGAAGAAATAATAAACACAATAAAACACACGAAAAACACAACACCAGGAGCAAGCAACATAAACAAAACAATCATCGAACATCTGCCACCAACTATGATCCGCAAGCTACGCCATATCTTCAACGCATGCTTGGCTACAGGATATTTCCCCGACAAATTCAAACACGCTACTATCACCCTTATTGCGAAGTCGGGGAAGTCAGCACACGAGGTGGGGAATTACCGCCCCATCTCGTTGCTGGAAGTTCCCGGGAAACTGCTGGAGAGGCTTATTACCCGCAGACTCATCACCCACATGGAAAACAACAACAAACACAACAGTAGGCAATACGGCTTTCGCCCACACCGGGGGACCGAGAGTGCGATTGCACTCGCTTACGAGGAAATCGCTCTCGGTCTCGCGAACAAGCACCAGATCAACATTATACTACGAGACGTCAGCAAGGCCTTTGACAAGGTCTGGCATGACGGCTTCAAATACAAAATAATACAACCACAACTCCCTACACATCTCACGCGCCTCCTCTGCAGAAAAACTACTTTTTCCAGACGACATCTCGCAGATTATCTCACACCCCTCTAAATCACAACATATCATGAAACTCACAACACAACGAGCTATACAGAACATCTACACATTTGAGCACCATTGGAAAATACAAACAAACATGAACAAATTCAAACTCATCCACATTGCACGCAGATACTCACAACCCATCACAATCAATAACACATACATCCCATACTCAAACACAGGAAACATTCTCGGTTTCCACCTCTCAACCACCGGATTCAGCACACACATCAGAGAATCACACAAGCACGCACAATACTCACTAAACTCCGACGCTTCTCGTGCTGCACACCACAAACCAAACTCAGACTATACAAAACAACTGTCAGACCAATTCTCGAAAATACAGCTGTCCTGCTGGTTGCAATATCACACTCACAAAAACTCAAAATGCAATCAGTACAGAACAAAACACTACTCTGGGTACACGGCACAACAGTATTAGACTTTATTTCCTCAGAAACTCTACACCAGATATAACCAATCGGCAGTGTCCCAAATATACGGAAAGGCTGGGAGGAGGGGAAAAGTCCTCCCACCCAGCAAGTGAGGCCCTGCTGGAGGGCGACTGCTGAGCGCAGGCTGGGAACGGGAACTACACGTCTCCCTGCGCTCTGGTGGCCGCAGCCAGAGTGAAGCTTGTGGGGGAAAGCCCTCGGGAACCCACTGGTGGATGATAGGGCACGCAGCCGCACCACCCTTTTATATAGGCAGCGTCGTGGGGGTGGCAGAGGTGGCATCCACCCGGAGTGACTGCCAGAGGCTGAACCTCAGGCGGGAAGTCAGGGTGGGGGCTTGGAACGTCCGTTCTTTACGTCAAGATGATCGGTTGCCTCTACTGTCGAGGGAACTGGGGAGGCTGAGAGTTGAGGTGGCTGCTCTCTCGGAGGTGAGGAGGCCTGGCAGCGGCATGACCTGTGTAGGTGGCTACACCTATTACTGGTCGGGCCAGCGACGGCCACCATCTCCAGGGTAGCCATTGCCATCTCCAGCAGACTCCAGCCCTCGGTAGTAGAGGTTACTCCTGTTGATGAGCGTATAATGGTATTGAGATTGAAGCTATCTTTTGGCTTCATGTCTCTTATTGCTGTGTACGCTCCTACCGATGTTTGTAAACTTGACGTGAAAGAGATGTTCTACGCCAAACTTACATCTGTGGTAGACAGATGTCCCCGGAGAGATATTCGCATTGTTCTGGGTGACTTCAATGCGGTATCTGGCTGTGATCGAGCTGGCTATGAGATGTCTGTCGGTCCCCATGGTTCAGGAGCTGATGCCGGTAGCGAGAATAGCCTCCTTTTCCGGGACTTTGCTAGGTCCAGAAATTGAGGATTTCTGGCTCCTGGTACCAGCGCCCAGACCCACATCGCTGGACATGGTACAGTGATGCGGGTAATGCAGCCAAGGAGATCGACCACATACTCGTTAGCACGTTGGAGGATCCTTCAGAATTGCAGGGTGTACAGGAGTGCTGAGTTCTGTGGTACTGACCATAGATTGTTGTGGCTACCCTCCGGGTCCACTCAGCGGTCAAATGATCACCCTAGGGTGTTTCATTTGGACAGGCTGAGGGAGAGGGAGTGTGCCCGTGGGTTTGCTGAGGCAATCTCTGATCGTTTCGCAATGCTTGGCAGTCTGACAGACCCTGTTCTTCTGTGGGATACCTTTAAGCGTGAAACGCTTGATGCAGCTCAAGATACGATTGGTGTACGCCCGAGAGCAGTACAGAATTCCATCTCGCAGGAGACACTGGAAGCCACAGATGCATGTCGTGCGGCTCGTCTGACAGGGGATTGGGAATTGCACCATTGCGCTGAACTCGGTCCCTGTTAAGAAGGGACAAGGACCAGTTTATTAGGAGTCTTGCAGAGGAGGTAGAAGGCCATTTCTTAGTAAATGACCTTCGTCCTGCATACCAAGCCCTGAGAAAACTGAACTCCAAGCCCTCTTCACAGGTGACAGCAGTTTGCTCAGTAAGTGGTCAGATCGTTTCAGATCCTGTTGCAGTGCGGGAACATTGGGCTTAATATTTTGAGCCAGACCTCAAGAAGGCGTTCAATACGGTGCATCGGGAGTCAGTCTGGGAGATCCTGAGACTGAGAGGAATTCCAACAAGGATTATTGGACTAATAGCAAGCCTGTATACTGATACTGAAAGTGCTGTAAAGTGTGGTGGGGGCCTGTCGAGCTTCTTTCCTGTTAGTTCAGATGTGAGGCAAGGCTGTGTCCTTCCGCCAACTCTTTTCAACACTTGCATGGACTGGATACTGGGCAGAGCTCCTGTTCAAAGTCATTGTGGAGCAACACTGGGCAATATCAAGGTTACAGACCTTGACTTTGCTGATGATGTTGCCATTCTATCTGAGTCTTTGGAAACCCTAGTGGCGGCTCTGGATGCATTTAGCAATGAAGCGAAACCCTTGGGTCTAGAGGTCTCCTGGACCAAGACCAAGGTCCAGGAATTTGGGGACTTGTTAGGAGAACCTGTTCAGTCGGTATGTGCTTGTGGCGAGGATATTGAAGTCACAGACAGCTTTACATACCTTGGTAGTGTAGTTCATAACTCTGGGCTGTCAGACCATGAAGTCTGCAGACGGATTGGCCTGGCAGCAGGGGTCATGAACTCTCTCAACAAGAGTATTTGGAGATGTCGGTATCTGTGCAGAAGGACCAAGCTACAGGTTTTCAAGGCCCTGATAATGCCAGTTTTGCTATACGGTAGCGAAACCTGGACATTGTCATGTGCCTTGGGGGCTCGTCTTGAAGCCTTTTGTAATAGGTCCTTGCGCCAGATCATAGGGTACTGTTGGTGGGACCATGTGTCCAACCAACGGTTGAACCGCGAGACTGGCACAGGACCTGTTATCT